ATATACATATACATATACCATTTCTGTTTATTCACAGTGACCAGTCTTACACTGTAGACATAACGGGGTTGCATTTTTCTTTGGAGGGTGGACTTTTCTTTTTTCCATGCTGTATCGCCTTAAGTTTTGCAGGTGTTGTAGCTCAAAATGTACCTTCTGTTAGAGGCATTATTTACTAGAAACTGGTTTCAGTATCTTAACTAACCTAACTGTTTAGAAATGGGTTTAGAAGTCCTGCAGTGAAAGTCCTGCGTTCAGGCTTCTGTGTATCATTTGTTATAGTTAATGACATCACTTGCATTCCTTATACTGCTTTAGGTGTTAGTGGTTTCATCAATTGTAGCAGGGGAATCCCAGAAACCTGAACTCAAGGCTTGGCAGGTAGGAGAACATTCCTTGAAAAATACATTTTAAGTTGATATTTTAATGTTTATCCCCCTTGTTAAGAAAGACTACAAGTCATCCTGGTTGGGGGCTGGTGGAAGAGTGTTTGTGGGTGTGTGGATCTGTTGCCCTGGGGATAAAGCTCAAGTACCTTCAGGCCGCTGATAAGGCCTCTCCTGGTTACTTGTCCAGTGTCTTCTCTCACCAGTCTTCCCCTTGTACTCTAGAAAAGCTTGAGCTATACTGAAGTACTTGGAGTTCTCTGAACATTTTCATACTCTCTGTTGCTTCTAGATGTGTGCACTAGAAACCTTCATGTGGGATTACTCTGCCCGGAGTGCTCTTTCCACCTCCATTTGCCATATCGCTTTGACCTACTCCTTGTGAAGCTTTTCTTGCTTACTTGCCACAGGCCCCTCATTGAGTCAAGAGCCTTCCCTTCATGATCCAGCATGCTCACCCTGAGTGTAGTACTGCTAGAGGTTCAGTTGTTGGTCTCCTCAGTCAGTTATAAGCTCCTTGAGGACAGGGTCCCCTACTTGGCCCTGGGAAAACTATTTATGGAAAAGACGTTATGACTCAGAAGAGATTAAAAACAAAACTGCTATTTTAACAGAGAACTGTAACTGCAAGTAGATTGGATATTATTCCTCTCTGCTGGGCAGCCTTGATTTTCTCCAAAATCAATTTAACTAAATCAGTAACACAGGATTTTAAAGATTATTTTGGTGATAATTTGGGAAGGGTGTAGCATTCTACCACATGGTATTTTAGGAAATAATAAAGTTAACAGCTTTGTAACCAAGTTATTTGGTAAAGACACACAACAGCTAACAATGATGCTCTTGAGAAAACAGATCTGACTTATAGGCCTGGTTGTTTGCATGCTTTACGTAATTTGATGCAAAAATACACAAAGGAAGCACGTGGGTATTCAGTAGTACTTGATTTTTCAAGTGGTCATGACTATCAGGAGGGCAGTGCCTTGCCCTCTGGATGAAGGTCAGTCTGCAAGCAGTATTTTCCAGTTCAGTTTTATTCCCTGTCAACACCCATGTCCATGGCCAGGGAAAAAGAGAAACTTGTGCCAGCCTGTACATACTGTTAAGGTGCTGTATACCAAAAGCAGCCTAGTGGTAGCTACACTTAGCTACTGCATGGTCTAAATGAAAGTGTGATACTTTGCTCAAGGTACAGCTGCTTGGCTTCTCACACCTTTTAACTTTGCATAACAGTGATAATCTATCCACATCAAAGCCAATTTAGGACTTTTTTATTAGTCACTTGTGAACATCAGGAGCCATGTGTATTTCTTCATTAGGAAAATATTGAACTAGTCTCAATTTTGGATGCCATACCTTTTTGCTCTTTTGTACACTTGTGGCTAGGCTTGTGATAAGAAATAGGTTTTTTCCCTCATTTATACTGATGAGCTAGAAGTTGAAAGTTTAGATTATACTCTTTTTAAAAAATCTATCTTTATGTTAAGGTGGTATCCATAGAGAGATCATCAAACTTTTCCTTATGACTCAGCCTTTTAAATTTTTCATAATATGTTACTGAAATGTATATGGTCTTGTTAAATTTTACACTCATGAATGTGCCTACCCTTTTTTGTCTCAAAGATAATTACTAAGTGTATTTGTATTTCATCCTAGTGCTTTATTTGTTCATATGTTGTTTGTACTTTGGTGACTTGGCTAGCACAATTAATTTAGTTTTTTACTTTTTCACGCCTGGTATCTAATTTTGAATTTCTTTTTGAAGAATTTGATCTAGGTAAAACTTGCCGTAAATGAATTAGAGCATTGTAAAGTATTCATTTTGTTCATGCATCTGTTAAAGCTTCTATAGTCTTGAATTCTGTATTTGTCATTTGGCCTACATTTATTAGTAGTTGTTAAAACATAATCTGATGCATTTATGGAGTTGCTGTATTGATCTGTCTTTATTCACAGTAGATATGTAAAATGTACCAACTACTTTTGTTTTCATGTATTGATTTGTATTTCTAACAAACGTTTGTGTACTTACTGTCTGCCAGACCCTGTGCTAGGCATTTGTCATCATTTGCATTTCACATATTAATCACCACAAATTTTATTGGCTCATCTGTTCCAATTTCTCTTTCAGGGCATGGTACCATTTGTTTTTGTGGGAACAAAGGACAGCATCGCTAATGCCACTGTTTTATTGGACTATCACCTGAACTACTTAAAGGTGAGAAGAGGAAGAATTTAACTTCTAATTCTGTTACAGTAAAATACAAAAAGTCCATAGTAAATCTTTTAAGTCGGTAGGATTCACTCTAAATTGTGCATTATGATGTATGTCCTCACAAAAGGTAATAGAGAAAATATTCATGTTATTTAGCTTACATTCCTTCTAAAAACACAATTTAATTTTTCATTATAAATTTAAGGACTAATATCCCAGTGCTCAATAAATTCCTATATTTTTGCATATTCTCTTAAATCCTTACTCAATTTTGGTAATTCTATACATAGCCTTTTAATCCAACTGATCCTTCCTAGCTTTTGTGGATTTTTTCCCAGGCTAAATTTTGTGTCTTTAACACTTGCCTTTGTTGTCCCTTTTATGTCATTTATTAAGGAAATCCCAGCATTTCATGAAGTCCTCTTGTTTAAATGTTTACCCTTTATATTTTTCTCTGTATACTTATTCAAAATGTATACTATTTGTTTCTCCTTGTAAATGATTATTTTAATTAGTGTTTTAGTTAATTGTGCCTCCTCTAGATTGCAAGGTGGGAAAGGGGAATCAGGAGGCTACAAGGTGTAGTGGGAAGAGCACTGGACTGGCAATGCAGCATGAGCTAATTGTGTGACTTAAACATGTTATATGTCACTTCCATAGATCACATCCTTTTTGAAATCCCTTTTGGACAAAAATGTCCTATAATTTATTAAAATTGAATCTTACCTGTTTCTTTTTTAGAATTCCTTTTGTAGCTGTATGTATCAAAATTACAATGTAACTGGTATGAGATAGTTATTAAAAAATAACCCAACTTTCTATTTTACTTATGGCACTATCCTGATAAGATTTTTGCTAACTTAAATAAAAAGTAAATGATTCTACTTTTATGTAAATAAGAGTGAAAGAAAAAGTGCAAAGCTGGACATTTCGTTCACTCTTAATGGTGGTCAGTTAATAATTAAAAACAAAAATGGGAAGGTTTCATCCAGCAAGGTTTGCATGGGTAGGATACCTCTTTGATTTGCTTATTTGTTTTTGTTTTGCAGTCTGTTTTACATGCAATCTGTTGCATTTTTCTTCATATTCTTAGCTTAAATAATTATGAAGGCCTGAAAAGTTAGGGTTACATTGTACAAAATCCCCTGTTCTTTTGACTAATGTTCTTCTTTAGACCCTTTGATTTATTCTTCAGAATTGAGTATCTTGTTTGGCTATCAGCAGCTGTCCCATTGTCATTCTTTCTATCACCGGCTCTTCCCTGGGTTGGGCCTCGGCCCTTCTTACCAAACGGTGACTGCTTTGCCCCAGTGAGATAGACCCGGAATACCATGCTGTTTTGCAAGATCTGTAGACCCATTCCATGAGCTATTATATTATTGGAGGAAGCCTCTCAGCTCCAGTCTCTCCTTTGCTTCTGTCCAATGTTAAACAGATTCTGGCTCAGAGCACAAATGAAATTGACTTCAGATCTTTATCTGACCTTTCTTTTCCAGATACTGCAACCAAGGTTTTAGGAATTTAGAATTTCAGGAGCTTCTCCAGTAACTGTTTCTGCAGTCTCTATGATGACCTCTGCTTGACCGAGGCACCAAGTCTTTAGTGTAGTTAGAGATCTGATTCCCTGTAACCAGTAAATGAGAAGATTATAAGTATATTGGAAGGACAAAGGTTAAAAATAAGAGTTCATCTGACTTTGACAGAACCCATCTTATTGGAAGTACTGTATAAAAGGGTCTGTCAATGGATCCCGGGTATATATTTTGATCAAGTGAATTTATACTCTTTGTTGTATTATTTTAGCAGAATTGTAGTCCTTAAGAGGTTTCTGAGGTATGATGTGAGACCTAGCTGTTTTGGTGAGCTGCGTAAGAGTTTATTTCCCTTTATATAAGGAATATTGGCATTTTCTGGTCATGGAAACTAATTGCTCCTTAATTCTATAATCACATCCAGAGTAGTATATGTTCTTTTAAAATGAAAGATGGCCCACACTCTGCTTAGATATTAACTGGCAAATCCATTTTAATTAAGTTCATTTACAGTATGTGAATTTTTCAGTTAACTGATTAGGCCTTAAATGTCTTTTATCTATACTTGTACATTTTAGTATTGTTTTACTCAATACCCTATCTTCATCAAGAAATCTCAAAGCCCACCCAGTGTCTCTGCCTTAGCCATAGAATAATTGGATGCTAATAGTGCCAAATCAAGCAACCTTAAATTTTATTGCTGAGTGTTTTTGTTCTATAGTTCTGGACATAATAACCTATTATCTATAGTAATTTTCTTTTTAAGGAGACTGATTCTTGATAAGTCTGTGTAGCAGTGTTTACTGTAAATTTAGAACTGAACTTGAAATATTTTCAGTATACTTTTTTATCTGATGAAAAGGAGAAAGGTATTATTAAGTAAAATGTCAAATTATTTTTGCTGTTATCTTGTATATTTTAAATAGGAAGTAGACCAGTTGCGTTTGGAGAGATTACAAATTGATGAGCAGTTGCGACAGATTGGAGCTAGTTCTAGACCACCACCAAATCGTACAGATAAGGAAAAAGGCTATGTGACTGAGGATGGTCAAGGAATGGGTCGAGGTAGTAGACCATACAGAAATAGGGGGCACGGCAGACGCGGTCCTGGATATACTTCAGGTACAAACTAAGCATTTTACTCAGTAACTTTATCTGTTCCTAGACTTAATAGCTGCTAATCTCTTAATATTGATTAGAATCCCTAATAACAACTTATCACTACATGGTTTCCAATTCACAGTGGGTCAAATTGTGTTTCAAGAGACATAGAGTACAAATTAAAAACCTGGTAATAACATGCATAGTTCACAGGGCAGTTGTGAGTTCTGTCCGTGTTGATTGGGGATTAATCTGCTTAAGCCCTTGTGTGTTGATGACTTAAGCCCTTCTCCTGATTTTATTACTGTATAGCCAAAACTTTTTCATTTGTGTACTGTGGCTCATTTTTTGTCAGGCATGTGCTGGTCATACTTGCTGGATGGACTGTGTAAATCAGGGGTCTGCATCCTGTGGCTCATAAGGTGATTTTGAGTGGCATGGCCAGATTCAGCCCTAGGCACAGTCAAGAAGTAGGCGAAGTGTCTCTTTGCCTTCCCAGCTCTTCTGTCCGTGCTTCTTTTCTTCTCTCCAAGTACCTTTCAGTGAACCTGGTCCCCACCTACCACTGCCTGTCTTTCTTGCTCAACTGTGTATCTACTCTAACTTGCTGATGGTGATGGTATAAGGTATAATCCAGCTCACAAGTATTCACAATTCAAAAAAGAACTCTTTAAGATAGAAAAGCCTTCAAGATCCACAGGAAAGAAACCATAATGGTGAAGTTCTAATTGGTCATTAGCTCCATCAGAGAAAGAAGGATAGAGGGTCGGGGGAGAGGTGTAGTAGAGTTGATATTCTGAAGTTGGGGAGAGACAGCTTAAGGCCAGCCTTGAATCTAACCCCTAACCCCTCTCCCAACAAATTTTTACCAATGCATTGACCTCAGCATGGAGCACTTTTCTCCCACTCACGTTCTCTGTGTCATTCAACCGCTTAGGCCTAACTATTGGTTTTTATGGTAATCCTTTATTAATGATCAGTTATTTCAGTGGAAGTGGGAGGGAAGGTTGTGGACCAAATATTAGGCAAAACATACCCCATTCTTTGGAAATAATACGACTCTACAAGACAACCGTCCCTGAAACAGATGCCACAGTAGCCTTCATTGCCAACCTTTCAAAGGTGACCAAAATGTATACATTCTCCTCTATCCCTGGGCCTAATCCTATTACAAGTTCTTTATAGAAGTTTAGCAGGCTATTGTATTTAAAAGTTCTGGGTAACTTGTCCTTCAGAAAACACAGATGTTTAAAGGAGCCCAGCTGTTTAAAAATATGGCACATTCAGGTTTGAACTTAGGTAGCTAATTAAATACCTTTTTTAAAAAATGAGAACCCCAACCAGTTATAACCAACATCACCTCAAATATTGTAAAGCCCTTCATTTTGAATTTAAATTATTTTTATAAAGTGGAAGGTGATAATACTCTTGTGGGCTTTTAAATTGGGAAGAGTGTTGGATTCACCCTGAAACATCCTGGAAGCCTCTGTTAACCTTTTTTTTTTTTTTAAGTCAGACAATGGTATATAACTTTTAACTCTCGATAGGAACTAATTCTGAAGCATCAAATGCTTCTGAAACAGAATCTGACCACAGAGACGAACTCAGTGATTGGTCATTAGCTCCAACAGAGGAAGAGAGGGAGAGCTTCCTGCGCAGAGGAGACGGGCGGCGGCGTGGCGGGGGAGGAAGAGGACAGGGAGGAAGAGGACGAGGAGGAGGCTTCAAAGGTATAGAGGCTTTCATTATTGAGAAATAGAGATGAATTATAGCAGCTGTCTGAAGTTCCACAAAAAATCTTGGTGATACAGTGAAGTATTACCAGGATTCTGTCTCTCCTATTTCATCTTCATCCTCACAGGAAATTATCTGTCTTTTGTATAGTATTGATAACTGGTTTGACATCTTTGGGGATTCTAATCAGCATCTGCTTGTTAGCTCAGATTGATTTATTGATGCCAAAGTATAAAATTGGGATATTTTCTGTTTCTTGGTTAATAGATTATTAACCTTTATGTAACTGGAATCACTAAGCAATGATGGCAAACCTTTTGGAGCTTTCAGTGATAGGAACATCCTGCTACGGCATGCATGCCATACGTTTGCCACTGCTACTAAGCTATTAATTACATTTTAGTTTCTGTGATTGGTTTAAACAGAGAGTGTGGGAAGACAGCATTTCCAACAAACATTTTACAATCAGTAACATTTGAACCTTTTAAAAATATTCCTATAGGAAATGACGATCACTCCCGAACAGATAATCGTCCACGTAATCCAAGAGAGGCTAAAGGAAGAACAGCTGATGGATCTCTTCAGGTAAAACTTATGTGCCTCTTCCTATTGAAATTGTTTGAGTATGTTTATTTTTAACCATATTCAAGGATTTCAAACTTTTGTGTACATGAAATATCTTCCCTTCAACTTAATAGTTGTGGGCAGTCTTAATCCTTTGTGATATGTATCCAAGTACAGGGATTTCCCTAGAGAATGTAATCCATGTGACAACTTTGATTGCTATATTATGATTATGATGCCACACCCTGATACCCCAAGAAAAGGCATTTTCTGAAATGTAGTAAGTGTAAGTCCTGTAAGTACTTTTAGCCCTGAATTGCAGGGATTAGGTGTTCTCTGTGAGTAAAAAGTAAAGAAAAGATGTCTCTGTCACAACTAATAGTCATTGTAGACAGGGCTTAAGATGTTCAGTTAGTCTTCTCATCAGATCAGTCAACTATTTATTTGTAGATAAGGTCTGTTCTGAGGATCCCTTCTCAAGCAGTCATTGCTGGTGCTAAACTTATTGGGAAATAATTTTATCTATTAGTTTTTTTTTTTGGTTTTGGTTTTTTTTGTTTGTTTGTTTTTGGTTTATTTATTTATTTTTGTTCCGGGGATTGAACTCATGACCTTGCGCTTTCGAGGCAGGTATCTTACGACTAAGCTAAATCCCTAGCCTTTTGTGAAATAATTTAAAAATTACCCCCTGAGGACATGCAGACATCTTTGCTAAGTGTTTCATACATGTTTTTATTTAACCTAATCTTACAGCAGCCCAGAGAGGTAAGTAGTTTTACTATTCTGTGTTGTAGACTGAAGTTTCATTCCTTTGCCCATAGTCACACACACAGCAGCATATGTTGGTGTGGTTTTCAAACAGTAGTGTCTGATTCACAGGACTTATGTTCTCTTCTGCTCCATCTGTGACTTAACAACTGTTAAATAGTGTTTCTTTCTGACTATGGATTGGTTTGAAACCAGTACTCATGATTAATGGGAGATAGTTCTTAAGACAAAAACTTGATGATGGAATAATGATAGAATATTCCTTAGAATTGATAGCATCTCTGATTAACTATTAACTACTGACAGTTTCTATAGGATCAACATAGAAAAGCCTAAGACCTATATAAAAATATTGATAAAATACTATTCATGCATGTAATTTACAATGATAGAAGATATTTCTGTACCAGTTTTATAATTGCTTACTTAATCTGACATGTTTCATGAACCTGGCAGTATGACCATATTGACTAAAAGGATGCATGTGTATAATAAAATACCGCGTAGAAAGATCGTGCTTTCTATGTCCGTATGAAAGTAGAGAAAAAGCACTGAGCTCTTAACAATTAAACATTTAAAACACATACCCGAACCCAGCACTTTAACAAAGGTACAACTGTTTTGAGGTGCTTTAGCCTTTGTACTTAAAGCACATCAATGCTTGTAGTTGTTGGGGGTCATTGGTCATCTGAAATTCCCTTAGAAGTATTTGTCACTGTCACTTAAAATATTTTGCAACTCTTAGAATATTTTTTAAATTACATTAATCTTTCTACCGTTTTAGGATTCTAGTCCTTCCACATTTTTTTTAGATTTTCCTCTACCATTGTGTTCATCAAAGTTCAAATTGTAGGATTATCTGCATTGCCTTACTGAAATACAAATTACTAGAAAGCAATACTCATATTTTTCTACTGTAAAAACAAAAGGAGCTCTCATTTAAAGTACTGAGCAACATACCTGTAATAGATATAAAGATATAAACTAAATGTTAGCTAATAAGTTGAGTTCTTATCTTGGTAAAGCTAGAATAGAAAAACATTTTGTGTGTCTCCTCCTGAGTTTCACAATCATTGAAGAATAACCCATTCTTTTTTAACTCTAGTGCGATCTTGAGGTATACTATGCTATATATGTATATGCTATGCTATATACTTTAAATATAGCATGCATATCTTCTGGTAATCAGTAACAGTAATTTAACTGCTTGTTTCTCACCATTTTATTCTGCTTAGAAGAAGACATGGTAGGATTGAGTTTTTTTCTTAAGTTTGGACGCAGTGAAATGAACAGTATGTTCCAGTTAAAGAAGAAGATTGTTTTTGTTTTTGTTTTTTTACTTTGATGGTTGTCAAGATCTGTCTTTTAAGTTCTGTCACTCTGGCTGGTTATTTTCTTTTTAATTAAGTTTATTGGTACAGTTTAGGCATACAATACAGTTACATTCATCATTGGGATCTTGTACCTTTACATGACGGATCTTGGTTCTTATTTTTTCCCCATTCCCCTGCCCTCCCTTCACCCCCTCCACCCTTCCCTATTTACAAAGACTTTGTTTCCATTTTTTTCCTTTTCTCATATTCTTTCTTTTCCCTTCTTACTTTTCCCCTACCCCTCCCACTTCCCCTACTCCTTTATATCTTTTCTTACGATTTCACAATATCAGTTATAATTTCGGTCCTTGTTCACACTTTTAGTTTTTCACACTAGAGAAACTATTTGGTATTTACACATGTGTCCTATTTATTTCACTTAAGAGTATGGCCTCAATATGCATCCATTTTCCTATAAATGTCTCTAGTTTCTCATTCTTTATGGCTGAGTAGTACTTGATTTGATAAAAAAAAAATCTGAAGAATAATGTTTTAAAGTCACAAACCAAATAAAGACCTTACTTTAATTTCTTGCAGTTCTTCTATTCTCATCTCCATTTCCTCTTTTAACTTGTGGAATTTACACCTCAGGCTTGGAATTTACACTACAGGCTTACATTTCTTGTCAGGCCACTTACAGATTACAATAGGATATGGTCTGTACATATAACAACTATAACTTGTTTTAGATCAGAGTTGACTGCAATAATGAAAGAAGTGTCCACACTAAAACATTACAGAATACCTCCAGTGAAGGTAATCGGCTGCGCACGGGTAAAGACCGTAACCAGAAGAAGGAGAAGCCAGACAGCGTGGATGGTCAGCAACCACTCGTGAATGGAGTACCCTAAACTGCGTAATTCTGAGGTTATATTTCCTATACCATTTCCGTAATTCTTATTCCATATTAGAAAACTTTGTTAGGCCAAAGACAAATAGTAGGCAAGGTGGCACAGGGCATGAAATGAGACACAAATTCTGCTGAGAATTTTTTTTTTATATTGGCCAATAAGCACCACTTTTTCAGATTTGCACAAAAAGACCTTGAAATTTGAAATATTGCTTTTAAATATACTTAGCACTTCAGGGCAGGATTTTACTTTTCTTTTTTTAAAAGTACTGAGCAATGATATTCTTTGTTAATTTGGACCATTTTCCACATTGGGTGATAACTCACCAGTACATTTCAAGCTTTCTGAGTAAATAGCATTTATGGTAATCATACTAGACTTCTGTTTTCAATCTCATATAGAAGTCTCCATAAAATGCTATGCCATTTCATGTCCTGTGTCGGTTTATGTTTTGGGCCACTTTTCCAGTATTTTAGTGGACCCTGAAATGTGTGTGATGTGACATTTGTCATTTTCATTAGCAAAAAAAAAAGTTGTATGATCTGTGCCTTTTTTATATCTTGGCAGGTAGGAATATTATATTTGGATGCAGAGTTCAGGGAAGATAAGTTGGAAACACTAAATGTTAAAGATGTAGCAAACCCTGTCAAACATTAGTACTTTATAGAAGATTGCATGCTTTCCATATTTTTTCCTTACATAAACATCAGGTTAGGCAGTGTAAAGATTAGGACTTGTTTTTGTTTTTGTTTTGTTGCACTGAAGTTTGACAAATAGTGTTATTGAAAGGGATGTGTAATTTTTCTTTATAGACAGGAGAAGAAAAAACTATCTTTTCATTTGAGAGAGGCTGAGATGTTTGCAACTAGGAGCAAATCTTCCTGGTCGAAAGTTAGTAGGATATGCCTGCTCTTTGGCCTGATGACCAGTTTTAACGTAGAGCCTTTTTGATTTTTTCCTCCCCAAGTTTTGTGAAGTTTTTCATGTTTTAAGTTTAATTTTATTTTGGGAAGATAAGAAGGTCATTTTCATATACACATAATAATCCTGTGAATTACAGGTACTTTCTTTGTCTAAGAAATTTTGGAAGCAGGTTCAATATTTTATAAACTTTGAAATATGGAGGTCTAATGTATAAGCAGAATGGAAAAACAGAATAGAATTGGTTAACAACAATACTTTTTTCCTTTTCTTTTTAAAAATTTTTTTATGTGCTGGGCTTTTTTTTGGGGTTTTTTTTCTTGAAATTTTTTTATGAATGAAATTTAGTGAGAAAGAAAAATATGTGAAGGACCTTCACCCTAAGATGTTATATTTTTCTTAAAAAATAACTCCAGGTAGGGGTACCACTGAATCTGTTGTACAGAGCCGTACAAACCGAAGTTCTGCCTCTGATAATATTTTGTGTTTGTTTCTTTGCGGTTTCATTTTACAGTTCCTTTTCCTTGCATACAAATAAGCATATAAAAATGGCAACAAACTGCACATAATTTCACAAATATTAAAAAGTCTTTTAAAAAGTATTGCCAAACATTAATGTTAATTTCTAGTTATTTATTCTGGGAATGTATAGTATTTGCAAAAAGAAATTGGTACCTTGCACACATCATCTGTAAGCTGTTTGGTTTAAAACACTGTAGATAATTAACCAAGGTAGAATGACCTTGTAATGTAACTGCTCTTGGGCAATATTCTCTGTACATATTAGCGACAACAGATTGGATTTTATGTTGACATTTGTTTGGTTATAGTGCAATATATTTTGTATGCAAGCAGTTTCAATAAAGTTTGATCTTCCTCTGCTAAATTGATGTTGATGCAATCCTTACAAATGATTGCTTTTAAAATTTTAAGGTAGGAAAAGAAATCTATAGAAAGTGTTCTGTTACAAAATGTAACTGTTACCTTTGGAAATTTCACATGTCATAGGAAGTTAGCCGTTATCTACCAACTTTCAAGCTCTTAATCATGTTTAATAAGGTGAAAAATCAACAAAATGGTACAAAAACACAATGTACCATTACAATATGCACTAAGTCTCTTTTTTACAAAGGCTGAATTCAGCAAGGCGCTAACTTGCTTAAATGTGAATTACTAACTTCTAAAACTGTAATTTGATTCACATGTTTTCAAATGGAGTTGGAGTTGATTCATATGATATTTGTGTGCTAAACGTGTATGTTTTTCAGTTCAAAGTCATGTTTTTAAAATCTTATTAAAGTTTCAAAAATCCGAAGATTGTTTATCTAGATGTAAATTTTTATTAAAAAGTTGCACTTATGAAAACACAAAAAATTAGTCTGACAGATGTTTGCTCCTGGTTTTAAATTTCTATATGGCAAAAATTTTATGTGGGAGGGGGAAGGGAGTTATCCTGCAAAACAAATGTGTAGTTGCAAATGATTTTTTTCATGCTCTTAAAAGGCAAAAATGAAAATACTTGAAAATTTTCCTCCATACCCTCAGTTATAAAATTTCAATACATTAATTGCATAGGCAGGTAGTGAAAGCTCTCTGCCCACAAGCATACACTATCATTTGGAAAATATTAAGTGTGTATATAGTTTTGAAAAGGAAAACCTTTTAATATCAACATCTTAGTAATGAAACTTAAAGATAAAGTCTGGGAATTAGCTGTTGTGGCACTTAACTGTAGCACAGTCTGCCGCCTTTAAAATGGTACCAGTGGTACTGTATTGTATACCTAAAAAGTACCAATAAACTTCATGAAAAAAAATGGTACCAGTGGAAGGTGGCAGTGTCAGTTCTATCCACTGTTAGAATCCAAAATAATGCAGGACAGTCTCATTCACATTTATGACTTTCAAAAAAATACCTGTTTCTGCTTTTCTGTTTTTTCACTCCAATGCTTTTCTGGTTCTCTGTTGTTGATTTTTCCCTAGTTGAGCACAGTCAATTGGTGGATAGGAAGAATCGTTTCGCATTAGCTTTCAGCATTATACAGGAAGAGCCTATTTGGCAGTAGCTGGCTTAGCACTCAACTTAGCTCACTCGGGTATTTCTGTTATCTGATCATGATCTTAGATCTCGTAGTTGTTAGGGATATAATGCCTCTTAAGAGTCAATATACTGGTGTTTTTTGTTATTGAGCCAGTTATTGTTATGGGGCCATAAATGGTATCTTTCCCTTGTGAACCTCAGATAACTGATAATTATTCTGAAATAGCTATTACCAACTGCTATTATTTGAAGTTTTCTTTCATTTTCTTTTCCTCAGAACTTTCCATAAAGAATCCGAGAAAATCTTTTTTTTCTTAATATGTTAAGGAGTTTTATGGTCATAAAAGCCTTTGAAAATTTCACTTCCTAAATAATTAAAAACTAAGCTTCAGAATCGAACGCTGAAAGATTTCCTTGCAGTTTGTGTGTACCATACACTTGGATAACAGGGGTAGGTTGAAAATTGGGAGGTTGAGTGTCAACAGAAGTTGGTAACAAGGAATCCTTGTAATTAGAGTTTATTATCATTATTCGTTATCATACAGAATTTAAATGGCTTATGCTGAGAGGGAAAAAAGAACTTTGCTCAAGTAAAAAGTTCTTTTGATAAATAGACATCTAAATCAGATTTCTGTGGAGATTGAGACTTGTAAGTTACTTTTCTTGCATCAAGGAACAGTACTAGTGCTCAAGGAGTCTGCCATCGCGTTTGCCAGTGCAGCATTGGTACTAGAAAGGTAGCCAGCTTTCCCAGACAACTCTGCTAAGAGCCAGCATCTAAACTCAGCCCTGACTTGATCTTCCACATGCAAGTTTGCTATCAGACTTGTCCTGTGGAAAGATGGACTCACTAGGAATACCCTCTCTTGGAAGTAGAGCCAGCAATGTCTTGACATTAGCATGGAGGAAAAGTATCTGTGTGCTTTTTCTTACCCTTTTCTGATAAGTTTGCCTCATTAGAACGTTTTTCTTTGTATGGCACAGTGCAGTGTGCCTTAACCCACCACATCTCACATGGTGCCTAACACCATCCATACTCTGCTTCTAGAGTCTTTTGGGAACTAAATAAGGGATCAAATGGAGCCATATCTGGGATAGGTGACATCCCTCTTCAACTGGTGGCAGGAAACCTGTCTGGGCTAAAATCACTGCTTACTTCCCAAAGGCCCTGTGACGTTTACTACATGAAGCAGGGTGAGACAGTCTGATCCTCTGACATTCCTTTACATGTCTGCCAGCCCTTGTTTGCTCTAAGGGAAAAGGAAGTTGGGAGGAAAAAAAAATCTCTTGTTTTCTGAGTGCCATTGGAAAGCTGATGCAACCTAACTTTTAGATTTGAGAATTGTACAGTATGCCACCAGGAACCTTTGGGGGAAATGGAGTCACAGCTTGTGGGCCTTCAATATGTTAACAGGGAATCTGACTCTCAGCTGTGGTTACTGGAGTCTCTCTAGGTTTGAATCGCTTATGTGATGAAGCTACGTGCAAGAAATAAGTGAAGCTCAACAGGGCCTTTAGGCTCTAGTGCTGGATTCTTTTTTGCCAAAATAATTAGCTAGGCAGACCAGTAGGAAGAAGCAGATGTGATTTCACAGTTATTTAAGTGGATACTCGTGGAAATCAGATTCACAGCCGTCCAAGGGAGACTTCCTGAGATGCTGAATGCAAAGTGGAGGAACACTATTGAGGTCAGCTGCTTTGAGACGCCTTGATGTTTTAGCATGGTTGGTTTGAAATCCTGGGCATCTGGAATAATTGGCCAAGTGACCTGGGTTCCTAGAATACCGGAAATGTTGACAGGATCTTATACAAGGATATCTCCAGGTTTGCTACAGTGTAAGGGTGAGATAATTCCCCACCCAAAAAAGGACAGTGAGATAATGGGCAATCCACATCTCAGCAAAAAGGAAAAGGCAAGAGAAGGACTCAATTCCATACATTTTTTCAAGATGTCCTCAGGCATTTTATTATGGCTCTAGGTTTTGAACAAAGGGATTGCTAGGTAAGGAGATAGATGGGAAGGACATGGACTAATAGGCTGGTAATCAACCCAAATCACTCAGGAGGCTCAAGA